CGTGCTGGGCCCTTGATCAGTCTTTTAATGAAAGTTCCTGAGCATGAAAACGCAGCTTGTAGACTAAATATTTAGCTTCTCAAGGTGATTATTTAGAAAGACAAGACTTAATTGGATGTGGAAGTTCTCTTATGTTTGTTTAAAATACGAAGTCTCCTGATTATAGTTAGGTTAGGAATTGACCAAGGTTAGCTCTCTAGACTACATGAGGTGGGAGGCAGAGTAGGATGTTGGAAATAAAGAAAATGAGGCCATTTACCTGAGCTTGTTTGAGGAGAAAGATTCATTTAAGTAGGATGAGAGCAGCTATAATTATATTATGTTTTAATTCATATTGTATGCTCCAAACAGATCATGAAGGGTAATAGGAACAATTAGTATTTCATAATGCAGTAATTCTGTATTCTAGAAGACCAAGTCAGACATAGAAACCAAAATAGTTTCCGGAATGATGGTACTGAACTCACAGGCACTATCTTCAGTTCAGTCGGTGCATGTTGTTTGTGTGATTTTTAAAAAATATTTATTTACTTGAAAGAGAGAGAGAGAGAAAGATCTTCTATCCGTTAGTTCACTTCCCGGTTGGCCAGCAGCCAGTGCTGGCCCAGCTGAAGCCAGGGGCCAGGAGCAAGTAGCAGGATCCTAAACACCTGAGGCAGTGTTTGCTTTTCCCAGGTCATAAGTAGGGAGCTGGATCAGAACAGGTGCAGTGGGTATGTTAACCAGGGTCGGTATGAGATGCTGACATTACAAGGAAAAAGTTAACCCACAGCACCACAACACCAGCACTGAATATATGGTGTGTCCTTATGCATGGGGATGAAGATGGAGCTTGGGTCTCCCTCTGTTGGTGACCAAATGAGTCCCTTTATTAAGCTTTCAAATGATTCAGGATGACTGACCCCTTCCTGTTGGGTGCTGGTTGATCCTTCTCTAAGAAATTCTGAAGTTTTCGGGGAGAGCCCGAGACTCTGTATGCCAACAAGAACCTCAAGGGACTCAGTATCAGGAAGGTATGGTGAGTTAAGCTGACCTGGCCTCTGAGGTTGTCAGTTTCCAACTGAGTAAGTCTAGTATGTTACTTCTTCAAGCTTTCCTTTCCTTTCTTTGGGCAAAGCCTCCCGCAGCAGCCTCATTTTGTGGCTTTTGCTTGTTCTGAGCTGACCTCCCGCCCTCTCCGTCTGGCTCTCACTGGCGGCTGAGCGCTTTCTTCCTCATGCTGTTTGCACACACCTTTCTTGTGCTCCTTTCTCCTTCCTTCCATTTTCTCTTTTCTTTTTCTCCCTTCCTCTCTCTTGCTTGTCTTCCGGATCATGCCTTCCTTTCTTTCTAGTAAGCTTGCTAGCAAATGTAATGTACATTAACCGCCCAACAGACCAGGCAGACTTCATTTCTTTTAAATTGTAAAATTTATTTATTTATTCTTAAGATTTATTTTATTTTTATTGGGAAGTCAGATTTGCAGGGAGAAGGAGAGACAGAGAGGAAGATCTTCTGTCCATTGATTCCCTTCCCAAGCGGCCATAACAGCTGGAGCTGAGCCAATCCAAACCCAGGAGCCCAGAGCCTCTTCTGGGTCTTCCCACGCAGGTGCAGGGTCCCAGGGCTTTGGGCTGTTCTCAACTGCTTTTCCCAGGCCACAAGCAGGGAGCTGGATGGGAAGTGGGGCTGCTGGAATTAGAACTGGCATCTATATGGGATCCCAGTGCGTGCAAGGTGAGGGCTTTACCTGTTAGGCCACTGCGCTGGGCCCCAAATTTATTTTTGATGATGATTATGTGGTAATCAGGGTGGGAAGCATTGAGGATTAGGCAAAAGTGGGTGAAATCATTGTTTGCAAATTTTCTGTTTCTTCTTGGTCTTATTTTTTGTTTTTAAAGATTTATTTGTTTGTATTATAAAGTCAGATATACAAAGAGGAGAGACTGGGAAACAATTCTTCCATCCATTGATTTACTGCCCAAGCAGTCACAGTGGCTGGAGTTGTGCTGATCCGAAGCCAGTAGCCTGTAGCCTCTTCTGGGTCTCCCACGCTGTTGCAGGGTCCCAAGGCTTTGGGCCGTCCTTGACTGCTTTCCCAGGCCACAAGCAGGGAGCTGGATGGGAAGCAGGGCTGCTGGGATTAGAACTGGCACCAGTATGGGATCCTGGTGTATGCATGGTGAGGACTTTTAGCCACTAGGTTACTGTGCCGGGCTCTCAACCCAGGGTCTTGATGTGGTGTGTGCTCTGAGCACTCTGCCCAAGTGGTCTGTATAGTTTCGAAACGCTGTCAATTTAGCCTGTCCAAAAGGGAAGGAGCCTTCCCAGTGTCCGTTGGCTGACATAGTCAACCTTAAATCTCCAGTCACCCGGATTTTTGCTGTCATCATTTGGCTGGAATAATTGTCATTTGTTCACTTCTCCTTCCTCTGCTGTGGTATCCAGTGAGCTGCCATATTCTCTATGTGCATCGTGGTCTGCATCCACCACTCTGCCTCTTTCACTTGTAGGTGGGCCCGAGGACCCAGGCCAGGTGAACAGGGCTGCGCTGCGTCCCATGCCCCCCGGGGCTCATGACGCCAGCACCTCGCACGTGGGTCCCAGGACACTGGCCAGGCGACCTGAACCTCGCTGGATCGCCTGCCCCCAGGGCTCATGAACCTGGCACCCACCTCCCAGGTGGAATAGGCAAACCTCTGAGGAAAGAATTGAGAGCTCAGTCTACAACCAGACTAGGTTAAAAAAAAGTTTGTCTTTGTCTTTCTTCTCTCTGGGATATTGTTGTGTGGAGGGTTTCCCAGGCCTGGAATTCTGGAAATTTCTCCCAAAATCTCACAATGTCCCATTGCTTCCGTGGGGATTAGCTTAGGGTTGGAACCCAGCTAACAAGGTTATTAATCAAAAGCAATACTTCAGATATGTAATTGCTGGTCAAGCTTCTACATTTTTCCTTATTCTATTTATATCTACATTATTCCGTATTTCCATTTTCTTTAAACAAATTCCCAGTTATTAAAGATTTCTTTTTATTGGAAAGGCAGATACACAGAGAGGAAGAGAGGCAGAGGGAGGAAGATCTGTCTGATGAGTCACTTCCCAAGTGACCACAAGGGCCAGAGCTGAACTGATCCAAAGCCAGGAACCAGGAACTTCTTCTCGGTCTCCTATGTGGGTGCAATATTCCAATATTCCCACTGGATGGGAAGTGGAGCTGCCGGGATTAGAATCGGCGCCCATATGGGATCCTGGTGCATTCAAAGTTAGGACTTTAGCCACTAGGCTACCTTGCTGGGCCCCATTTATTTGGGTCACTCATACACCCATAAGCTAATGTGTACTTAATTACCCTAGTCACACTCAGTGAAAGGCTGTATTCATTTTTCTCTTCAGAGGAGGGACCTTATTTATGCTTGCTCTTATGAGCCTTGCTTGGGCCCAGCGTGGTAGCCTAGTGGTTAAAGTCCTTACCTTTCATTTGCCTGGGTCCCATAGGTGCTGATTCATATCCAGACTGCTCCGCTTCCCTTCCAGCTCCCTGTTTGTAGCCTGGGAAAACAGTAGAGGATGGCCCAAAGCCTTGGAACCCTGTACCTGCATGGGAGACCTGGAAGAAGCTCCTGACTTTGGATTGGCTCAGCTCCAGCTGTTGTAGCCATTTGGGGGATGAACCAGTGGATGGAAGATCTTTCTGTGTTTCTCTCTCTGTTATTATGACTTTCCAATAAAAATAAATATATCTTACAAAAGCCTTGCTATTTCCCTGTACCTTGGAATTTCTAATCTGGAATACGTTGTTGGTCTGCAAAGTGCTCAGAGCTGCGTTGAAGTTGCGGGAAGTCGGAATTTGTTGTGTGACCTGTATTCCCCCTGGGGTGTATCATGGATTCCCATATCCCTGGCTGAATTGGGACTAAAGCTACCCTGAGTAAGAGGCTAGTAGGGTAGGTGCTATTATATCTGAAAGAAAACTCACAGTCCCAGTTTCTATGTCCACAATGACCCTCAGCCATATCCACTCAGCAGTGAAGGCTGGCATGGGAGTGAGGAGGAGTGAAGGACTTTTTTGCTTAGGGTCAACAGGTTTTGTGGATCTGACTTGGGAGTCCTTTGACACCTGAGACGGTCTTGCTTCCAGTGGCTAAGTTTTGGCAGCAGCGTGAGCAGGGTTTCTTCAGAATCCAGCTTCTGTCCTGACCACTGTTTGCCAATGGCCTGGCTTTCAATTAATTTTTGGGCCTGAAATCAATTCTCATGTTATTTCTTGTGCCTTGCTCACTCCTCTTCATCCTGCTCTCTGTTAAAGTAGGCCACAGAGGCCATCTTTAGGGTGTTGACTAAGGAGGTGCTGAGTTTCATCCTTAATTTTTGAAGTTTTTCTCTAATGTCAAGGGTGATCTGAGCTGAATTCTGTAGTCATGGGAATGTTTTGACACTATGTATCTTTTCCTGTAAGTTAAGAAGGTTGCACGTATCGTTATTTCTGTCTGCAAATCTCTCTTCCAGTTTCTTCCAACTCATCTATAGGCCTTAACTCAAATGTCATTTTATACAAGGCATATGCTAATCTTTAGAACCTAAATAATGTCTACCTCATCAGAAGTATTGTCTTACATGATTTATTATCCTTTGTCTTCTTTTTTTCACTTCTTTTAAAAAGGTGAACTTTTTGTAGCTTAGAGGGCAGAGGGCCAGCAAGACAAAAGGGCATTTTTTTTTTTTTTTTTTTGTTTAGCACCATTGCCAGGGTCAAGGGGTGATTAGAGGAGAGAGAATTCTATCGCATTTAACTCCTCTTAGCCCTTACCCCTAGCCACCTCAAGAAAGCCTTTCAGTCTGAGTAAAAACAGTGCCCTTTCTGTGTAAATGTGGTTTCAAGAGAAACTTCCTATGTTCCGAGATTTCCCCTCCTACCTTTTAAATCTACTGTTGTTGGTCCTATACACCCTGCATCGAGCACTGTACTTGGGTAATATTAAATGCAGAAAATATTGGTATGCAGCTAACACATTTTTTTCTCCAGCTATGACTTCAGACAGGTGAGAACCTCTTCTCTGGGTTTTGTCAAGACTTACTTTCCCCTTCTGTGTTAAGCTCTGGAACCTCTGTGTTAGTTCTAAAAGGGCACAGAAAAGGGTAACTTAACATTTATAGCTCAAAATCTACCACTTTTTTGAGCTCCAGATGTGAGTTTTCACCTGTTTTCTAATTAGCTAATATCGAGTAGTAGTAATTTCCCTAATTATCATTGTGAGCTTTTGAATTGCTGCCATTAAGCAAATATAACTGAGTCTTATGTCATTTTGAATTGAGGTAAGCCACTCCAATCTTTTTTTTTTAACAAAAAGGTTTATCTGTTTTTATTCAAAAGGTAAATTTTACACAGAGAGAATGAGAGACAGAGAGAAAGAGAGCAATTGCTGCAACTGAGTCAATCTGAAACCAGGAGCCAGCACTTCTTTTTGAGTCTCCATGTGGGTGCAGGGGCCCAGGGACTTGGTTGGGTCATCCTCTGTGGCTTTCCCAGGCCATAAGCAGGGAGCTGGATGGGAAGTAGAGCAGCCACGACACTGACTGATGCCCATGTAGGATGCTGGCACTATCAGGCAGAGGATCAACCAGCTGCTAAGCCTTGATGCTGAATACCAGCTACTTTAATTTTTTTCCCCCAAACGTTTTTCGGTTTGTTTGAAACACAGAGTGACAGAAAGGGAGATAGAGGGTGAGAGTGAGAGGGAATGAATTTTCCATCTTTTGGCTGACTGCTCAAATATCTGCATCAGCCCTGGCTGGATCAGGCGGTACTTAAGCCTTTTTCCACTGTATATCAGGTGCATTAGAAGGAAGTTTGATCAGAAAAGCAGTAGCCCAAACTTGGACCGGGCACTGACATAGGATGGTGCATCTCAAACCATAGCTTAACTAACTTGCTGTGCTACAAAGCTTGCCCTTCCTTCTTTTTTTAAAAGACAGATTACAAATTCCAAAAAACCCCTCCTATTTGGATATCTTTATCATATATTCACTTTTGTCTCCAATTCAATATGTTTAAATCAAAACTCATCTCCCTCCCTCCCTCCAAACCAAGTCCCTTCCTGATTTCCTGGATCCCATTGTCCCCCCAGTGGCATTACTGTCCTTTCAGTCCAGTGAGGATTTGGCAGCATTCTTTAGTTTCCCCTCCTTCCTTACATTCCTTCTTACCTTTAGTTATAACTCTGTTACCATCTTGCTTCTGACCCTCATCCCTTTCTGCCTTTTCCTTAGGTCCTATCTTGGTGGCTTCCCTAATTCCATCTCTGTTCCCTCTGAAGTTCTCCGAAGCTGCCCTCCATCATCAACTCCTTTTGGTGACATTTCGTTTTCTTCAGCATTCCAGCTTCTTGAATTGGCCTCTATCCACTGTCCCAGTCTCTTTTCTACCATTTTATCACAGTCACCTTTCTCTCAGTCACAATTATCTATTCAGCATTCAAAGGTGCCATGTTCGCTTTCAGTGAAAATAGCTCCCCGCATTCTTTGGTATGTTCTTTTTCTTCAAGGGTGTGTGGAAGAGCTCCCTTAGTGGACAACCTTGTCTTAAACCTAATGAAGATTTACAGAATGAAGCTGACGTGTGCTCTGACCTTGAGGAACTGTGGGAAAATCAGCAGAAATGAATAGAGTTGATTTCTTTGCTTTAGCTGTCTTCATGATCAATATGTGTCTCCACTGAATCGATTTTATGGAGCCTAGAACTGGTCGTTAGAAGACTAGATGAGTACTGCATCCATGCTACATGTGTTCATTCTTATTATCCGTGCTGACTATGCCAAAGGCCATGTGGCAGGTATGGGACTGTCACTGTGGTTAAATCTATACAAGCCGCCCTTGAAATGCGTTATTATTCTTCATAAAAGAGTTTATTTTTCAATATGAAGTAAACACTTCATTATGATTTGACAGAAAAAGATCAGGAACTGCAGCCCAGGGAATGAAGTTTGTAACTCTGGGATATGGTTTTGTAAGCTTTCAGATAATTTACTTTTGTCACCCCCTGTTACTCAAAATAGATATGTTCAAATAGACATAAAAGCCTGCATGCGTTTAGCTTTGGGAACCAGCGATGAGTAATTATTGGTCTAAAATAGTGCTTTCCGTAATTTCTTCTCATGACACTGGATGACTTTGTTGTTATTTGTCAACACTGCTATTTGTTGATTCTTTTCGTTCTCATGTAAATTCCATAAAGGCAGAAAACACTCTTGCCTTTTTCCCTAAAAAATTCCCAGCCTGCCTAGGTACTTGGGAAGTTCCATCCATTTCCAGTTGTTTTCAGAAAACTGAAAATTGAAGAGCTTCTCTGCTCAAGTTTTTAAATGTTTACCTAAAATAAGATTGATTTCTTTATTTTTTCACAAGGTACACATAATCTTATTTGGTATTATCTTTATGAGTTAGTGTAAATTTCCTTTAAAATTTATTATGGAATGAATTCAAGGTGGTTTTTTTGCCTTTGGCTTTTTTTTTTAAAGATTTATTTTTATTATTTTTTTATTGGAAAGGCAGATATACAGAGAGGAGAGACAGAGAGGAAGGTCTTCTGTCCGATGATTCACTCCCCAAGTGGTAGCAACGGTCGATACTATGCCGATCTGAAGACAGGAGCCTCTTCCGGGTCTCCCACACGCGGGTGCAGGTTCCCAAAGCTTTGGGCCGTCCTCGACTGCTTTCCCAGGCCACAGGCAGGGAGCTGGATGGGAAGCAGGGCTGCCGGGATAGAACCAGCGTCCATATGGGATCCCGGGAGTGCAAGGCGAGGACCTTAACCACTGTGCCACTGCGCCAGGCCCTGTCTTTGGTTTTTAAACTCTTTTTTAGCTTCAATATTAAATACCCTACTTATAATGTCATTTTGTGGAGTGATATGACTCATTCTGAAAAGTGGGATTCAATTAATTTGGATTGTTTAAAACTTAAGATACCACACTTAACTAATAGTACATTGGTAATAATTGTGTATACAGGCATGTGTTATGTATTGAGATGGACTAGCTGGGGATTATTTCTAACGTAAAACCCCCAGGAATATATCATGCATTTTATAAAGTATAGTTCAGAGCAGGCAGTTGGCATCGCAGTTACTATGGTGTTTAGGATGTCCATGTCCTGGAGTGCTTACGTTCAATGCCTGGCTTTCAATCTAGTCACTCCAGTTTCCTGCTAGTATAAAACTTGGGAGGCAGCAGTGATGGCTCAGGTAGATCAGTTCCTGATATCCAGTTGCTGGCCTGGACTGACTACCTAGCTGTGGGCTTTTGCAGGCCATTAGCAGGGAGCTTGATCGGAAGTCAGGCAGATGGGACTCAAACTGATGTTCATATGGGATAATGGTGCTCTAGGTGGAGACTTAGCCGGTTAGACTGGCGCCAGCCTTGAAAAGTTTTCTTTCTTTCTTTTTTTTTTAAAAAATATTAATTTATTTTTTTTGTGTTTGAAAATACAGAGAGGAGGAGAGACAGGAAGATCTTCCGTATGATGATTCACTCCCCAAGTGGTAGCAACGGCTGGAGCCGAGCCAATCTGAAGCCAGCGACCAGGAACTTCTGGGTCTCCCACGCGATGCAGGGTCTCAAGGCCCTGGGCCATCTTCCACTGCTTTCCCAGGCCACAAGCAGGGAGCTGGATGGGAAGTGAGGCTGCCAGGTCACAAACTGGCACCCAAAGGGGATCCTGGCATGTGTAAGGCGAAGACTTTGGCCACAAAACTACCTTGCTAGGTCCCTGAAAGTTATTCTTGAATGTCACGCTGAAACCAATGTTCTCACCTGTCACCTAAGTTTACCATTGATGCAGGTATGCAAAAATGCATTGTCTATGTGAAAACCTGGTACTTTCACACTGATAATTGCCTACCTGTTCAGTACCATGTGTGATTATTAGGTTTTTCTATATAATTAGCCTAATCAATTAATTTGCAAAAATTAGCTTAGACTGACTTAGAAGTTGTTGCTAAAATTATAAGTGCTTTGGCATGGGCTTTGTAGTGCAGCACATTAAGCCACTGCTTGGAACATCTGTACCCCAAATTAGAGTTCCTGGTTTGAGTTCTAACTATTCTGCTTCCAATCCAGCTTCGTGATGCTCTTCATCCTGGGAGGCAGCAGAAGACACCAGGAATATGGAGCACCATCTCGGGCTCCTACATGAGTGGTAGCACTTGAATGGTTAGAGACAATGGATCAGCCAAAGGCACTCTTGGTTGGAATGGGAAAAGCTGTGCAGGTGTATTCCTCTGTCTGGAACAGCCATCTCTTCCTCCCCACTTTTTAAAAATCTAGTTCTTTCTTGCCTTTCTGTGTTGCTAGACATTTAGGAGACATTCAAATATTTTCTCATTGAGTAATTATTCATTCAATAATTAGAGAAAGAATTTCTAAGTTAGCCTTAAGATTCTAACAACAGCAAGAATAAATCCAGGTCGATGTGAATGTGTCCAATTTATAGTACACACCAGCTATATTCAGATAGTGTGAAGTTGTCCGGAGGTCAAAGAGTTGGCATTGACTGCTTGTCCAGGCTAAGGGAGGATAGTATCTAGTAATTATCAGATATCTAGCACACAGTCGAAGAGATATTACAAAAAGGTAAAAAAAAAAAAGTCTCCTTTACTGCCCTTTCTTCCTCTGCTTTGTTGGTGCTCCGTGTGGAGACTGATAACAGCCCTGGCACGAGACCTTGGCCATGCTGTCAGATGTCCTCTCAGAGCCTAGTGAGTGAGGCTAATTGCTATCAGCTTTGTAAATTTGCTTAATTAGATAGTATTTGCTTCAGAGTATATTTACATAGGCTGTTTAGAAACACTAAATCATTTGTGTTTTGTATAAAAATGATCAGGATTTACCTTTTTATTTATGATATACGTGAATATGGATTAGGCACTCTTAAGATTACAAAGCTTATATTTACTAATCTGGAGACTGGAAGCATATTTATAAGGATTCTAATATTAAACCACAAAACCTAAGGAATAAATAAAGAACATTTGGATGCTAGGAGAGGCCCCAAAGTGCCCAATAAGCTAAATACAGTTTCTGCTTTTTGACTGCACATGTGATAGTTGCTCAGAGGAGGTTGGTTGCTTTTATT